TGATATGGACTTCATTCGAGACTTGATTAATCGAGGTGCACTTTCGCATGCCGATATGCTTTAGTCTCAACAGTATCAAGAGTGTTTTTTGATTCAGAGTTGTACGAGTTAGAAAGGACTGCAAACTATGACATTATCCCATACGCTTCACAACTTGTTTTGATGAATTGCTCACTTCTCTGGCTAAGAATCAGTCCGTAAATGACTATGACTCATACAAACTTAGAAACGGCATCCGTGTGAAATAAACGTGGCTTGCACAAGACATTTCCGAGCAAGTTTGTTTAATTATTTAATAAGTGCTGTGTGTTACGGCTGCGAGTTGAGTTTTGTTTCTTATACCCCTTGCGCTCCCTCACACCTTCTCCTGCCAAATCCTTCAAGGACAGGAGGTGTAGTTCCCACACCGGGTCCCCTGCACACCTGCCCCAGCCGTCCTCAGACTCGTAACCCGGGGATCCACGGCCTGGGGGGCCTTCTCCGATCGCACTCCACGAATTTCATTACCGAATCCTCAAAACAAATTAAAAGTCGGTTCAGAGTCAGTGCAGCGAGGCTATACTTGGGACATGACAAGCAGGGTAGAAGCCTGACCTCAGCTCGTACAGGACTCGTTTAGACACGCCTCTTTGCTTATGCAGCAGCTAGCAGCAACTACTGTACTGTACTTCGCTCTACACCACAGCAACAACTGTGCAGCCTTTATAGAGGACCCACTTCTGCACATCTCCCCAACGGTGGATATATTTACTCACGCATCAAATTTGTTGTTCATTATTTTCCAGGCGGGTTCCTGTCTCCGGAATCTGAATACAGCCCCCTGTATTCCGCAAGACCAGCGGCGTGCACAGCGGGCTCCGGGAACGCGCATTGAGCAGTGTCACTGTCAGCGCGCACTGAGTTGTGGGAGTGGAAACAGTTCATCAGCATTTATTAAAAATTATATGTAATAACAATAATCTGAATTTAAAGTAGTAAGGCTTGAATGGACAAACTTAAAGTGTTTTCCCTGTTGTAATAGTTGTGTAAATACTGTATGGCAATATCATTGTCCGATTTTAACGATAAATAAAAAACATAATGCCTAAAATATACAGTAGTAATTTGATTAATAATATTGTGAGTTGATTACACCCTGTAGGAAGCGCTATGCCTTTCTTTCACTAGTCTGAAGTAGTCATAAAACATGCATTTCAAGGTCACGTTGTACTACGAACTACAGCATTTTTTTTTATCTCAAGCGGTTGCTTAGCAAACCTGTGCATTCTAGGTTTCTCTCATCATCATCATCATCATCATCATTATTATTATTCAGCTTTCATACGTTTTATTCTCTTATTTTGACTCCTTCTGCATCCAATTAAATAAGGTAAAACAAGATACAGTACGTGAACTAAAATCTGAAGAGAACCCGTCTACAGTACGTTTGTTTTTATTGCAAATGCGCAAAGCAACAGCCTGCTTTAAACAATGTTCATTATAAACGTCTCTTTAATATAAAAACTCACTAATCACTGATCACCTTTGTGCAGAAGTGTCAAATTCAGTTCCTGAGAGTCTGAGTTTGTTTAATCTGTCCTAAATATACATACTCATTTGTAATAGCAAGTAATAAAATGTAAACATGCACAAATTAAGATTTGCCAAAGAAATGATTTAATTTGTTTTGGAATTGACAGCTGTCATCAGAGGATTCTTTTTACAATCTATAATCATGAACTGCAGTGAACTTTAGAAGCAAGTTTTGCCAAGAGGTCTCCACATACAGTACAGTACATTACCATAATGAGCAACAGCAAATTTTTTACAAGTCAAGTATAACAAATCTTTTTAATTGAGTAATTTTCTTATTTGGACTTTTGTACAGCTAACTGACTATGAAACAATGCAAGATTGTAGCCTTCACTTGTGAATTGGAAAATGTTAAATGTCTCCAGCAAAAGAAACAATTATATCTATTAAGTAACAGCGCTCGGGCTGAAAAGAAGCCAGAAACAGCCTTCAAAGCTCCAAAAAGTTCCAGCATATTAGGTAATAATTTGTAGGTGCCTGATTAGTTTCCAATGATTAGTGACACTGAGTTAAGCAACTCTCCATTAGAAAGACAGAAAGCTTAATAAACTTCTCTCACTTCAAAAAAACTCCTAAGCAGTCCGCCTTCCTTACCCCTTGGTAAAAGGCTAGTTAGGGAAATCAGTAAAATTAAATTATTTTGAAATAGGAACATTTCAGCTACTTTCCATGTTGTTTTTTTACTTTCACATTATTTGAGTTACTGTTAAATCCATATTGGCCATAATTATGACCTTATCAATTGTTAAACTATTGTTTAACTTTGGCAGTCCTTAGACTTTACCTAAGGTAAAGAATTACACCACTAGTGGAAATTCAGTGTGGTGGCACGTGTTGTTCAACATGTTGTTAGTTTACCACAGAGGTGCAGCAGTTTCCCGGACAAAAATACAGAACTGTACATGGTGAGCTTTCTGCTCCAGAGCAGACATTTGGACCTTACAGACTGAAAGAAATTCTTTAAGTATGAAGATACCAATTAATCTAGGTGAGAACAACAAAACTAATGTTTTCCCAATTAAAAATAGTTTGGCAATTTTAAATATTTCTCTGCAGAAAGAAATATGTGAAACTAATTTTCCCTCAGAGCAAAAATACTTTGGAAGTTGTCTTTTATAAGTTTCTGTTCTTCTACACTTCTGACATTTCAAATGGTGCTCGGTCTCAGTAGAAGCTTATACTGTACTGGTCAGAGCACAGTCATTCTGGAATGACTGGGTTAGGAAAGTTTTACTGTTGTCGGTTCGAAGACTTTGTTAACTTTGGAGTTGGCAAGATTATTTCTAGTAGGAAATAATTCCTTTATATAGTAGTTTATGTTTTTTTCTGTAATTTATATGGTATGTTTTATCTCCTCTTATTCTCCATTTGATTGAGTTACTGTTTCTCTTAGTTTTGCTTTAGTTTTCGTTACTTTTAGCTTTGCCATTATCCTGTGACTATTTTATCAAAACCATCTCCTTAAAAGGGTTCTCAAAGATAAACAAGGAAGTTTTAGTTTAGTGAATGACAGTTAGTCGTGTCATGTTATGAAAGCACTGGTGATGCTTTAGAAATTTAACTGCAATCTGGACACAATACTCTGCATAAAATATTTGAGTAGCTTTCCACCTCTGCTACTCTGCTCCTTAACACTGCAAATGTCTTTTTTGTAAGCTACAAACAACTGTCTAATACAATGATTTTCTCCTGTTTGTCCCCCCACATACCTAAATTTGCCAATGCAAATGATCCTAAACTCTTAAGTAACAAGACAATTAAATCCTGAGAGTTGAAATTTATGCCCCTTCCACTTACTGTACAGTATAACTCCCAGAGATAATTTCAGTTTCTGTTTGTCACTTAATTTTTCAAGGCTTCAGGACTCTTGGTATGCCTAAAGAGTCTGCATTCATTGGGAATTAATTGAAAAATATCCACAAGGCAGTTCTATTCTGAAAAGCAAAACAAACCACTTAAAAACAAAAGGTGTTTTGTTTTATTGTTCTTTTAAAGTAGCTACTCTTGCATAAAACCTTGAACTTTGATTTGTTTAATACTCCTCCATTAAGAATCATTCGAGACTTAAGATCTAAGGCAAGAAATGTAACACTATAAAACTTCAGAGATTTATTGTAAAGTTGTAAAAATACAGATCAACCAATGTTCCACAAACATCTGAAAACTTAAGGTTTAACTGTTTTGCCTTGATATGGCTGCACTGTTACATAAGCTATCTGACCATCATGAAATGCTGAGAAAACACACCAGTGTCCTTTTATACAATACAGAATATTTAGCAAATATTCTGAAAGTGTACAACAAACTATTTGTCAGTTGTAAAATTGACAAAAATATCAATACATATTAAATGTCAAACAATTTTCATTTTTGCATTTTGACACATCATATCATTGAGGAGACCTGCTCACAAACGCAAAAGCCAAGAGAGAGTGTGAAATTCTCTTTGAAACTTCATTTTTTTAATATGTGCCAGTTAATTAAGGCTTATCTTGTTCTGACAGAAAAGAAAAAGAGGCAAAAGACAGATGAAAGAAAACATGACCTAACACAAAGGAAAAAGAAAACAGTGAAAATGGTCAACATGGTAAATGAGGTCCTTACGATGCCTAATTAACATGAGATGGTAAACTGTAGAAGCTGAACTAAAATAAAGCAGGATCATCTTCAGTCGATTGGGAGCCTCTAAAACGTGCTTGGGTATTGCAGGTATTGCATCCTGAGCCTCATCATGGAAAAAACAACATCTGAAATGAAAGAGAAGCAGGGGGGAGGGGGAAAGCGTTTTCACTGCAGTTGCACGTAAAATTCTCGGCCATCCAGCCACACATGGAAAATTCCCATCGATGACTGCCGCCTCTTCCACCAATGCGTGCGGCACCCAGTGTCCGGCGGCCACTTTCAAGCGTGGCGGCCCCGTTTGGGGTGCCGGAGGCCGGACTCTCTGCCTGTCATCTGTCCCTGCGGCGGCGCCTTGAAAGCCCCCTCTCCCTCTGGTTCAGTAAAGGGGGGTGTCCCATCGCTTGGATTGAGGAGCCCAGGGGTGCGGTTTCTCGCTCTTGTTTTAAGCTCCTGGGCGCTCCATGAGTGCTGCCTTTGTTCGGGTCGCGGATGAGCAGCGCAGAGCGGGCCTCTTCAATCGGGGCTGTTTGTTTACACCGCCGAGTCACGTCGCCTCAGATTAGTGCCAGGGCAACGGACGGGCCTGCGATGTGCTAATCGCTACAGCCGGACCTTGGCAGCAAATAAAGGCTCCCGGCTTCGCTGGCCCAGTTCCCTTTCATCCCGAGCCAGAGGGCTGAGCCCACGTCAGCGGCCGGGCGCGCCGGTGCTCCGGTGCTAGCTGCGCATCACAGAGATGTAGGAAACCTGCCGGCAAAAGGAGGAGAAGCCACATCCAGTCACTCTCTGGAACGCCCTACTTCTGTGAATTACAGAAGAAGGTGGAAAGCTACTCAAATACACATATACTGTACACTCGACCTGTATAAAAAGAAGAACGTATATTTAGAATAAGAAAGGGCGGCTGCCTCTCTGCAGTAGGGTTCAATTCTGCTGTCTGGAGTTTGTATGTTCTTCCCTGGTTTGTGTCCTCCACGTGGTCCGGTTTTCTCCCGCAGTCCAAAGACATACAGTAGTAGGTTAATTGGCTACTGGGAAAACTGGCCCTGGTGGGTGTGTGTGTCTGTGTGTGTGTGTCATCCTGTCCAGGGTGTGCCCCGTCTTGCACCCTTTGCTTGTTTGGATATACTCTGGCTCCCTGAAGCTTTTACTAGCCTCAAAGGGTTTTTTATCTCATTATAATAATTTTACTTACAGCTCAGTTTAGCTGCATTTGTTGACAGGTTGCTTTTAGGAATATTCACATTATAAGCAAGAACCTATCCTTAGCCTTAAGTACATACAGTAAATAAGGTACAGTATGTGACCTATGACATGAATCTGATATGACAAAAGGAATGTTCTATTTTGAATGAAAAAAAATCATTTTTCACCTCATACTATGCTCCTTTATGAAGACCCATGCTATGGCTTGGAAGATCCTCCCCTATTTAATATCTCTTCACTGATGTCTAATTCAGCAATACAAAGTCCTTAAATGTAATGCAGCCAATCAGATCAAGAAACAGTGACTACACCGAGACAGACAATAGCAGCTACACTACAGGCAGCCCATCAGAATGAGTGTAAAATGGTCACAAAACAGGTAACAGAAATTTAACCTTAGCTGGGACAAAACAGCAATAGCTGGAAAAAAAGACCTTTCTAATAGATCCTATTTTAAAGGTCAATTTCTACCGTTTTGCTTTAATGAACGAGCTTACCACACCACGTTACAAAATGCACCTAAAAGGAATAACATTAATCAAATTTGCAAATCTCAGAGATTCTCATTCTATTTCACTGGAAAATGATTCTACTGTATGAATTAAAAGTTTTTTTTTTTAATAATTCACTAGGAGTAGGTTCTGAGAATGTGGTTCACATGCGGTTGGTCAATACTGCCACCTACTGCAGTACAGTTTTCTCTACACCTTAACCCTTAATAGCAGAAAACAACTAATGGAGAAGGATAACTACTGTATGTTTTTCAACATGAAAACAAGAACTCCAATGCAGCTCACAGAAGAAAAGCTGTTTATGGAAATTAACCACAATATCAGGTTGACATATGTTAATATTTAAAGCCAAAGACAAACAACTTCCAGAAATAAGAAGGCAGAGCCAAATTCCAAACTCGATGCACCAATTGGATTCCTGTGATTTAGGATTTTCTTTGTAACAAGTCCTTATCTGCCACAAACTTTTACATATTTTTATAAAATGAAGATTTGTTCGTCTCTACATATTGCAGAAATAGTACAAATATACTGTACATGCAAACGGATGGACATACCTCTTGTATGATTCTACCCAGGTTCTCTTTACTTTCCACCGCTTTTCTAAACAGACAGAAAAAAAACATTCCGTTATCTTGTGCCCAATTACTCAAAACTATGTGATACTAGCTTATTTGACTTTTCCCATAAACACACAAACAAATTGCATAAATTGCATGAATGTTTTATTTTGCAGAACTTAAATATATTCTAAAATTTAAAACAATCAACCCCAATAAGGAACTGGACCGACTGCTAATCTATTTTCTGAGCAGTACGTTCATGCCCTGAGGAGCCATCTCAAGCTGTGGTACTTACCTGTCTATTTTGCGAGCCACAGTGACACTGAAGCAGCCCTGGCAGTCAGGTTGGTAGGTAGAGGGGACAATGATGTAGTGCCCTGGGGCCAGGCTGCAGAGTAGGCTGACTTCCTGAGTGTAGCGATGGGGGACACAGCTGGCCTGAGGCTCTTGATCTTGGGAGATTTGTGGTTCTCTGCCCTCTTCTGAAATCTTCATCCCAGAACATAACCATAAGTAGAATAATACATCGGTTTTACAAAGTCATATGTACCAACGGACGTGATGCTGACATAACATAATGGAGCATTTTCCCATTTTGCAAAACCAGTGCTGTTAGGCCTAACGAAACCACACGTCCTTAGTTATTTATTTAAAATAAGATGTGCAAATGAAATTACTACAAGCTGTACAAAAATCCTCTATTTTCTTTTGAATAAGAAGGTCACAGGATGATTAGGTCAGGTTAATATGAAGTATTTCATACCCTACCCCAGTCAGGAGCAAGACTGCAGCTCTCACCTGATAAACATGGAAGCCAATGGGCTGGCAGTCTTTGGCAGGGCAGTGCTGTTGCAGAGTGATCCTCACGTTGGCCCCTCTGGGCTCACAGTTCACAGTAAACGGTACACGGGGGTTTGACAGGTGAGAGGGGAAATTCCTGCTGCCCCCTGCAGTGGCCCCAGGGATCCACTGGCCCTCGGAGCAGCTGGTCTCCCACTCTCCCTCCTGGACCGAGGCTGCTAGGTCCCCTGTAGGGGAAGGGGGGGCTTTCAGTGCACTAGGAAGAGAAGGGAAGGCAAGTGAGGTAAAAAACACGCTCCTCTTCAGAACAATCAAGCTCACAATTTCATCCCATCCTTTGTATCGAATGAGCTGCTCCTTTTTTGTAGTTACTTAATACATTTTTATTCAACAGACAACTTTAATGAAAATTGCAGAGAACAACATTACATTTCCAAAATAACATAACTGAATAGACAATCTTGCAAATCCCAACCTTACTTTGTCAAGCAGGTTTAACGGACATTGCATTAGTGTCATTCCGTGACCACTGTTGTGGAGTGAAGTGTTGCCCTCATAATTCTCAGGAAATTAAAGATCCCACCCACCTTAGAGTCACAGGGGCATTGGAGAAGACGCGCAGAAGGAAACCGGCTTCGGCTTCCTGCAGGAAAGTGCTGGGAATGAGGAGGTAGAATCCGGCAGAGAGTTGGGTGTGCAGTGTCACTTCTCTGTCATAGGCATGGCAGTGTGTAGAGGCACAGGGGGGTGTATTGAGGGTCTTTGCCAGATTAAAACGCTTCTTTTCTACCTGGACATGTGACACATGAATGTTTAGACACACGCTAAAAGGACATGTAAACTTAAAAAAATCACAGCAGTACTTTATACAATTTATACTGTGTTTAAAAAAAACTAATATGGTGTTGTAGCTTTAACCCACCTTCCATAAATGCAGGCCTATGGCTTGGAGGTGGTGTTGTTTGCTACTGTCCATCGGCATATTCTCCTCTCTACCTTCTCTTTGAAAGTTGAGTGAACAAAGGTCAGGCCGAGCAGTGCCCCTAACACTGAGAGCACACAGTCTCCATCTCTGGTGCTGCAGCAGGGACAGCAGTATTTCTCCCGACTCACTAATGCGCAGCCAGAACTTGGGGTTGGTGGCAAAACTGCTGTTGTTACGGCAACCACCTGCAGAACGACCTTTAACCCAGGAGCCACACACCTGATTGGAGTGAACTAACTCCCTTCCTGTGAGACACACAGAGAAGTAATCAATCAACTGGCAAAACGGCAATACATTTTGCAGACTACCAAACAGGAGTCTTGCTGTTTAACCATAATTTATTATAGGAAATTGATTTAAGCACCATCTCCACTTAACAGTTCCTACTCTGAAACTCTAAAGATGTGCTCAATAAAGTTACTGTATGTCTAGAGATCTTAAAGAGAACTAATAGCCCCTCTTTTGAATCTGAGGCTCGACTACCAACCTATTTCCCCCCAAGAGATGGGTGTAAGCCGCATCCAGGTGAGTGGTGGAGGAGAGCCCTCATTATCTGTAAAGTGCTTTGAGTGGATTGTCCATAAAAGCGCTATATAAGTGTAAGCAATTATTAATTATTATTATAAGATAAATCTAGTTTACATTACAAGTAAAAGATGTGAAAGCTTAGTAATGTAATTAGAATCCATCTGTCCTCAAAGAGATCTGCAGATTTTCATTAATAATAATAATTTCTGATTCCTTTTAAAATAAAACAATTTGAAACCATTATAAAAAGGTAATACATACATAATGAATACTAAAAATATAGAATGTGGAAATGACAACTACTGTATGTCAAAATGAATATATTTTTCTTTATAACTTAGCTAAAACATAGGTCATTTCAGACCTGAAAAACTCAGAGAGAAAAAAAACGACCAACGTAAATTCTGACCCTAAGCAAGCTGCACATTATATTACCCTCCATGGAGCCTTACCAGTGTGAATACTCTGAAGAAATCCCTGCTCACTGATTGGATATGCCACTGTGACCTCATCAAATTCCTTGAGGAACTCCCCTTCTTCTATCCAGAATTCCCCCTCCTCAGTACGGCCTAACAGCTCTTCAGTACAGCCTGGTTCCAATTGGTTCCAGCCCTCACCACTGTGAGCAAAACACATCCCCAGATCCAGGCAATTACAGTTTACTTCTCCCTCCAGTGTTTACATTGCACTCTTGCATTATTTTCAGCAGGCATACTGGGCATTGAGAAAAACCATACAATCTCCTTCTTGTAGATCAAAAGTTTATCTTCTCACACATATTTTAGTGGCACTAAATTTCACTGATATGGTATAACTTATTTTCATTCTTTTGTATCTATTTATCATTTGCATCTTATCTCTTGAAATTTGGAATATAAATGTACTGAACACCACTGCTCATGAATGACCTCATGAATAATCATACAGTACATGTACATCCACATTACTGATCTTACTGTACCACAGTACTGGTCAGATGCTACATTAGGTCCTCACACTGCAGTGAAGAAACTATTGCTCACAACATGCCTTTCTGTGCTTCTAAGGTGGAATTCCTTAAAGCAGTAATACATTTAGAAACTGTGCCGGGCAGCAATTAATACAACTCGGAGATCTTCTTCTGAAACTTTGCAGGAGTTCCCACAGGAGAAATGATACAATAGGGTACATTTTCTCCCATCGAAGCCCCTGAACTGACCCCTCGCTCCAGATACCACCCCAGCAGCGGCGGCCCCAGGGGTTTCGGATCCTCAACAGGCGAATTCCGCGGCTCTGCAGCTCCACCCATTCCATCACACTGAAGGCGTGGAACTGCCCCAGCTCACCGGCACCTCCGACACACAAACACACAGCACATGAACAGCATGGGAACAGAACAGCTCGTTTGTTTCTCAACAGGGCTTGAAGAGACATGTTATTTTGGGCATAGCCTGTCTTTTCCTTGTGTATTACTCAGATTCTTTACCAATTACAAATGCTCACTGACTGCAGTAAGCTCAAGTTTCCGACTTCTGCTCACGTATTTCATTCTTGTGTAAGCACATGCAGTGGTGCAATCTATGAACCAAATTACCCACAAACAAACTGCCAAGAAACACTCTCAAAGATACTTTTTTACAGAAAGGAGGGGACATCCTATTGGGTTTTCAATAAAATTTACTGTAAATAAATTAGAAGGATAAAGTAAACTAATATTTATATATTAGGAAATAAAAATATAAAATATATAATATCTAAAAATATACAAGTTGTTAAAAATGTCTATAAAATTGCTAAATGTTCTTCTGACATCATTTCTTTGATACTTGGATATAGCTTCTTTAAGAAAAAAGATGCCCAAATCCTAAGGTTCACTTACAGTACATGGTAATCAAATACAGTACCCTCTTGATTCTTAAATGAAAGACTCAACAGGCCTATATTCCTTCCTAATATTAAAACCACCTAATATCACAGTATCTGCTGTGCTCAGAAATAGCACAAACATTCCAGCAGTAACAAAGTACAGTCATAAGACTTGTCTAGTGTAAGACAATGGGAGTTCCTGATAGGCTACTGAGATTCCAGTATGATTTACAGCACTCTGCTTGCTGAGCTGCAAGGCATGTTCCGACTGCTCTGCTTCAGCTGGACTGTTAAAGTCCCAAGGTGACTGTCAAACATTTTATTCTCTACAACAAAATATACACAATTTCTCATCTTAAAAGGAATTATGTAAAAGTGTCACAAAAGTGTAAAAGTGTAAAAGGCACAAACAGAAGGACAGATGTGATAAACAGAAATTACATACATCTTTTATTGAAAGCACCGTTTTTACATAGATGGAACAGAGAAAGTAAAATACTTTGAAGCCAAGTAAGCCTCCTGTAGAGGCCTTTTCATTACATCCTTTAGCAGTAAATCATGTAGCCTGAGGAGGGAAATACAGTAACAGTAGAGACCGCATTGTTACAGTACATCCCAAGATTAATGCCAGTTATTCAACTCACCTCCCGGAGAGCTATGAACTGAGCAGCTCATCACACATCTGTCACCCACTCCCACCAGGCTGCTCAGACTGAATTTCTTCTGAACGATGTCATCCTCTCCCTGCTGTCTCAGCTCCTTCCCCACTTCCTTCAGGCTCCATCGCTCGGCCAGTCCCCCCGAGACATCAACCAGAGCCTCTGCCACTTGCCCAGCCCAGAGCTTCTCGTACGAACCATGAAGCCTGGAAAAGGTTTTGATTTTAGTTGCATGTGGAAAATGAACTGTGTGCCTTTATTCTGTGTGTATTAATACCTGCGTGTACTATTTAAAACCTCTTCCTATGACATAATACATTATGGTTATACAATATCTGGCTTCTAACACAGAAAATAATGATGGCTCTTCAAACAAGCTACAAAATAAAGCTTTGCGACTCATAACATCTCCCTTTTCAATGCACACTTACTTGGCATAGGCTTTTTCCAGCAAGGCCACCCAGAAGGCACTGGGAGACTGGCAGTGAGAGAAGCACAGTCTGGCACCAATGCAGGGCAGCTGATCATCTATCTCTACATCTATCCAGCACCCAAACTGCCAGAAGCTGAATCTGAACCGGCCCGTGTATCCACATTCTCCCCACTGAGGCTGCCCGAAAGGGACCACCTGAAACACAGCATCCACCTTTCAAATAGACTTGAATTGTTCATTCTAATGAAAAGAACAGAATTTAAGCACAGACGTCTTTTCCCCTACCTTGTCCATCAGGAGCTTGTTCTTCAGCAGCATGCTACAGGCGCATAGGAACCAACAGTCTCCCAAAATCCCTTGCTTTGCATGGCCATCCTTGGGATTCTCAGGAAACAGTTTGGGTGACTGACAGATTGCCTGGATTACAAACAGAACACAACATGCTGTCACCCTGAGGTCATGGCTCAGCAATATAGTGTATGTTTTCTATCAGCACAATACAACAGAATGAATAACAACCATTTAAGAATTTTACTGCAACCAACTAGAATTAGAATATGACCCTCAGAAAAAAAAAAGGAAGCTTCACCAGTTTTGCAGCCAACTTTTTTTAATTACACCTTAGCATAGAAACCAGGCTTCACTCCTGACATGGGCTATTAGTAAAAGATCCATGTTGTTATTTCCACACCATGCATGTTTCTCACTCCATTGAATAACAGGAACAGCCCTTTGCTTTTCAACCTTTTGCGTCTTTTGTTTGACACGAAAATACCTGGACTAAAGCAGTTTGACACACGTTGGGAAACAGAAGTCCCACCTGCGGGCGCATCCATACGATATCCCCACAGAACTTGGAGATGGGGGTGGTGTAGTCGGAGAAGAGGGAGGACTCCAGTGGGGGAAAGTCTGGATCCTCAAAGAGTCCCTGCCCATCGTCACGTTCCATTGCCACCCTGGGTCTCCCCTGGACGCCTACAATGTCCTGCTTTTGGCCGCCATGCACCCTGGCCTCTTCATAGTGCTGGTATTTCCTAAAGGCAAAAATAAACACATGAGTTTCACTCTGCTTGCTGCATTACTCCTCATTGCTCAATCGTTTAGTGCAACTGTGGAGATGTCTGGGGCCCTGGACTTCTGAGAGGAGCACCATGGGTCCAAATCCCAGGTGGGCCTCTTGCTATCTACCCTTGAGCAAGGCTGTTTACCCATTTACCCCAACAAACCAGATGTACAAAAGGTACCAAGATTTGAAAGCGATTAAAAACAAGTTAACTCTCATTCCATTAAATCTATAGAGGAAGTCCTACTCCAGAGCAAGAATAATTTTTAAACATGTTATTGTTGCGTGGAACAAAGTGGTTACGCAACATAGTTTGCCATCTCATACTTAATGAAAACAGCACCGTTTTTAATGGACAGTATGATTAAAAAATAAAGTGCAATTATTTTTAACAGACCTTTATTCATATTTCTATAGTTTGGGAGATGATTTAGGCCACCAGGCCGCCACTCCACATTATGCCTGCAAGCTGTTCAATTAATTGAAATGGAAATGTACTAAGCAAAGGTTTTTCCCCCAAAAAATTTTTCACCACACAGGTACTGTATTTTGAAGACACAAATCTTACTTTTTGACTTTTGTTGTTATTATCGTTGTGTGCAGAGACAACCCATGATGTTTCAGTGTACTGTCACTCGGTACAAGAAGTTCCATATAAACCACTGCAATCTAAGCTGTTTATGCAGACCAGGTTTAAGAGCTGCGACAATCACATGATGACTTTGACAATAGCTCGCGTACTGTATGCGTTATTCTTTGATTACAACAGATTTCCAAAACAAGCGGTGCTGTCGGTACTTCAGTAGAATTAGATTCTTTACCAGCTCTGTGTTCCAGACACCAGGCGCCAGTAAGCCCCAGATGAGACACTGAAGAACGAGGAACAAATAGCAACTAGCTACCCTTTAGTGGGTACCAACAAAGTAGTAGCGGTGTTTCAGAATTTATCCTCAATATATCGCACATTGCCCTGTGCAGATACATGGGAAATTAACGCACAGAGTAATCGTGAGTTTCCTGTGTAGCACTGAATGAATTACCAGTCATGCATTTTCTGTCATTTAGCTAGTACAATGTATCCGACAACGATGTCGGCGTTGCTTTATTCTGAAAGGCACAGGGCGCACACATTAGAAACCAGTCAACAATACCAGCAAGTGAAAATCCTCTGTTCAGACCTTTCAGGCTGTTTTCTTCCGGGAAGCAAGTATGAGGTAAAGACGAGATCTGCTTTCCGACAAGATGTGTCTCAGCTTCTCACAGCGCTCTTCATTGATGACGTTACTCGCCGCCCCCATCCAATGCAGCAAGATAAACGTTTATGTGCCACACCGTGGCCACTGACGGAACTGCACGCGAAGTCAAGGAAATGTAATCATTCTTTACATTTACAGTACGTAATGCTTTTCATCCTTTGATTCCACAAAAAACCTAAAAAGCGTTAAATGTTGGCTGGGACCCTATTCCTAGAGGACTGGGTGAAGAGGGGATGTACGTTTTATCCACAAGTTAAGGTACTCAGATGGGTAACACGATAGCCATTATACACCTGTATCAGATCGACTTACTAATTAAGGCAAACTTTAGTAAGACCAGATTGTCCAAGTATTGAGAGTGTTTCCTCTCATTATACTTGCGTATTGGTTTGCTGCAGTAGCCCAGAGAGAAGAGTTTCTCCTGCTTGTCCACCAGCTTCGTTTGTGGAGGCAATCTGATTTTCCTTGGAGGTCATCCATTTCAGTACTCAACAATCCAAGCCCTACCTACTGTAGCTTTTCACATTGGCCTAAATGGTACAGTAGAAGTGCTTTCAAATTTACCACTTTGAAATGCTTTTTGCTTGTGTGAACTACATTAATGTTTATTTTAAAAGGCAAATTTTCTATCCATTTAATAAAATGAATTAATACCTGCCCTCTAATTTGTTCAAGTTCATTTAATAAATACATTCAAGCCAATGATAACACATATTTCTTATTTTTCCATAACAGTTTACATTAACAACACATTTTCCCTGGGTTTTGCTTTGTACGAAAATTATAACAATTCAACTCCATATCCAGTTGTGGTAATACTGAAGCTTAAGAACGTAAAAAATAGTATGTTTTTAAAATAACATCTCATATAATTAGCATAGTTATCTAGGAAAACTTAAAAATTAATGGTTGTTAAGAGAAAGAAGTTGCTACGAATTACAGGTATTAGTAGTTGCCATTTCACAACACTACTGAAGTATTGAGAAATCTATAAATATTGGATTTGTGCAGGCTTGTTGGTGGAATGGAACAGTTTCAGCAGAGAGTTTCATCAAGCTGTTGCAATATAATGCAATATAATAATAATAATAAAAGAAATTAATATTATAAGGAAGAATAACTGTTATAAAAATGTTTCTTTTTATAACACATTGGCCTGATCATGGCTTTTTGATCGTTTTCACTTTATAGCCTTTCTAAAAAGGCCGACTGGTCTTATACACTGTGAATGGCAGAATCACTCAAGCAGAGAGCAAGGCTGAAGGGTGCAATCTGCTCAAAACACTGCATTTCATTTCAATTTCCATAGTGTTACACCTGCGTCCTGGGGTTGCAGACTAGACATATTTCATCTTCTCCTTGGTTTGAGTCCTCAATAATAACATTACAGCATTGTGACTTGGGATATGTGTTGTGCTTTCTTTTCGATTGGCATATTCGAAAGTATACCACCAGTTTCCACATTCATAGTCATAGTGAAGGCTGTTGTCCCAAATGCAGTTGGGTCTTTGTTTTCTATGTGTCATTGAATAAAGGAATTGGTAAAAAAAGAATGAAGCACTTATTGGAACAGAGTCTGTACAGCAGAAAACCAAAAAGCAGGTAAGATCCTGAGTCATGCCAGTGTTTTCACTTCTTGATGACTTTCACAATCTTGAAGGAACATTCTTCATCTTTGAGGTGATTTTGCATGACGCTAATGAGCTGGAGAAAAAGGTACAGGAAATAACAGTACATATGAATATGCTGTTAATGTGTTCGCCAGATAAATTCATCAGGTAGGATGGATGAAGTAACTACTGTATGAAGGAAGCTTTGCCCGATTTAAAAAAAAATCTGTTTCCACACGTTTCCCTTTCCCCATCAAAGAAGAAAAAGAACATTTAAATATTTCAGTTTTTTTTACTCTTAGATTCATCATTTGTTATACTGTACATGTCTATTTGAATCCATTGTGCATCTGTAAATAAAAAGTAAAATAAAAGAACTTCTGCAAGCAGCTGTTTAGGATGGAAGGTTCCGTTTTTTATCTATAAGAAGAATACCATGAAAATACAGAAGAAACAATTTGCTTTTTCACTGCAAATTATATTAATAGAAATGCTTTTTGTGTATATACTGTAAGTGCATCCTTGTGGCTGTTCATCTTAAAAATGAGATTTGTTGGTTAAGACATCATGTTTTACATATGTCCATTTATATCCATTAATTTCAATCCACTTCTCCTGTTGAAGGTCATGGCTCATTAAATTATAATGTGTGTTCATATGGGTTTTGTCAGGCAAAAAAGAAACAGTGGGACTTACATTTTGTAAAGCTTCTGTTATTGTTTTATTCTCCATAGACACCGGGGTAAGAAGAGACACGTTCATTCGCAGAATCAGTGTCTGCTTGCCTATAAAACAAATATCCTTCAATTCACATTTGTCACATCACAACGATGTGTACACAGAGATGCAAACACTGTATCTTCATGAAGAAAGCAATATTTTCTGGCACAGAAAACAGCCCATTTCCCCTAATAGTCTTTAAATGAGCAAGAATGGCTCACTTAACCTAATTTCAATATAGCAATAGCAACATACAGTACAGTAGGAATCTGTCATTGGAAAGTTGAACATGTATTTTATTGTTAGCATTCAATATAGTATACTAATATAATATAGAATATACTGTAATATTGAAAAAGCTCAGCAACGGTGTCAGTGATAATATAACTACATTTTTAATCCTCCTAAATCTTTTTATTGATTTGTTGTACCTTTTGGATCAGTTCTTGGGGTTTGCTCATCTCTGGAGGTCATAGCCAATGTGGACTTTTCAGTCCTGGATGCAGGAGGAGCTGTCGTCCCTGGTCTGATGGGCTGGGGTTTAGCTGGCACACTGGGCAGCACATTGACTGGTACAAGTGTAGAATGCAATGGCTTATGGGCTGTTGTACCATGGCTATGGAATGTTGTACCATTTGGTATGGATGTGTGTGGCTTCAAAACGGATACCGGAATTTTTGTAGTGAGGGTCTCAGCATCAGAAAGCACTGTTGCCTTGATTTGCTGGGCTGTGTTTTTCATATCTAGGGCCATCTTGGTTTCAGTGACGTTAGATATTATTGACGAAACAGCAGGCTTTGTTCTTTCCGAAGAACTTGTTCTGTTTGGAAAAAGAATAGTCATGGCTAGTGAAGTTTGTTTTACTTTTACAGGCTGTGTAGAGTTATACTGTGGTAATGTGGTGGTTAAATCAGCGATTTTCAGTGATGTTGTTCCTGACGTAGTGTGGGTCACTGTGGTATCGCCTGCAGATAATGACTTTGTGGAAGAGAATGGGATCACAGTGCTGTAATTTGTTAGAAATGTGCTATTTTGCTTTGTATGAGGACGGGTTGCACTTGGCAGTGATGAGCCACTGAGTGTAGGTGAGTTTACCAGATTTGTTGGTGGAGTGTGAATAATATCTGGGATCATTGTAGATGTAACTGTTGTGTTATTAACTCCCATTACAGTAGACGTTGCTGTTGTGGCTGCAGATTCAAGAGTCACACCATTTGCAGATGTAGTAATGTGTGTTAAGGTCTTTTCGTTAATTGTATTAGTTATATTCAATGTTGTGTGCGTGATTGCAAGTTCTGTCACATTTGTAGTGTCTGCCACTTCAAAATGTGTGCTTTTGTCAGTTGTGGAGTGAGTAGCTCCATCCATGGATTTATCATTTAAAGTGTGGGGCACAGCAGAAGAAAATTTGCTTGGTTCTGTCATATGAACATCAGTATTTGAACCTACAGTAACGTCTGTCATGTTTACATAGAAGGTTCCATTCCCAGTGATACTGGCTGGTGAAACAGTTTGTATCCTATTTCGTTCCACAAAAGGCAGATCAGTAGGAACATCACTGGCAGTGTGTGCTATGGCTGTTAATGAAACAGCATTTTCTGTAACTAGAGAATGTGGGCTGTCAGAAGTATCTGAACTTGAAGCTGTGATGACTTTAATTTTAGGTGTCAAATGTGACGTTTCTGTGGTTTGTGTGTAGTCTGTAGGCTCTACATAGTTTTGATCTGAGGAAGCTGATAATTTATTTGCAAATGTAGGTACTGTATCTGTATTAATTGTCATTGCATCTGCAGATAAAGTCTCTACTGTAGTGATATGTAGATGTACATTATGTGTAGAAGTTTTCATATCTGAACCACCTGTTGCAGTTTCCTTATTTGTGCTGAATACAGTGGTCAACTCTGGGATACTTGTCAAACTTGAATTTTCTGTTGCTCTTACAGAGGATGCTTCAAAATTTGAATTAGAGTTCATTAAAGGTTCTGTAGCAGTTTTTGTGTTTGCCAAAGGTTCATTGGAGGTGATGTGGATATCTTCACTTGAAGATACAGCTATTGCAGAGTCTTGCCCAGAGGTTGAAGCCAGAACTGTTGGTGCTGCAGAAAAGGCACTTGAAGGTGACATATTCACTGACGAACTTGTCAAAACCTGGGGGTGTGAAACTGAGATTTTTATGGTGGTCTTTAACATTTCAATCACATCGTTTGTTGTGTCTGACACTGCAGTGCTAGTTAATGTTGTAGTCGGGTATGAGATAGAAGATGTTGTTTTTCTCCTATTTGAATCTATCCCTCCAGTGATTGTATTGGTCTGTGGTTCCAGTGGAGCAGAAACAGGTGAGTTAATGGTTGGCAAAAGATTATGGAGGGCACCTGAGTTAGTTACACTTCTTCCAGAAGATGCAAGTATCTTGTTTTCCAAAGTGCTGGCTTGACTGACTGGTAAAGTTGGAATAAGCACAGGTGCATCGGTAGGGTTTACAGAGGATGTGGAGGTAAAACTTGAATCTGCTCCACTGGTTCCTTCCTCTGGATTGATTGATGTATTGTTTGGTAGTAATGTCCCTTTATCTGTATATACTTCTCTGACATTGGTGGCAATGGGGTTTAGCGGGGTTGCAGTAGCTGTAGATGAAGCATTTAGCAGGATTCTCATGCTGCCACTGAAAAGTGTTTCTGTTGTAGATGAGCTAGATCCAGTTTCTATCCTTGCTGAAGAAGTTGTCGGTGAAGCTGGCAATTCTGTGTGAGATGTAATATTTTCTGAAAGCATTAGTGTCACAGAGTCTGTCATAGTGGTTGGTTGAGTAAATGACAATGATGAGTTTGAAAAATTCCTTGACAGTTGCCCTATCGTAATGCCTGTGAATCTTTCCAATACAGGGTCTGATGATGACCTTTCTGAGAGAGGTGTCCCAGGTGTAAATGGTTTAGCAGTATCGGCTTGAGGAGTGGAAGGAGTGGAGGCCACTGTCATGTTAGCTACAGTGAGCAGTTCAGGAGAAACATTAGTAAATGCATTGGACTTTGATATAACCGGAGTAGGTGTTGTCATGGTGTAGTCATTTTGAGAAGCAGAATCATCTTGAGGTAAAGCAGTCTCGTTAAACATATGTAAAGGATTAACAGGAGTTGAAGAATAATTTAAAGCCAAAGATGTCTCATCTGCAACAGATGAGCTTATACTTCTAGATGACATATTTAGATACACATCTTGTGATGTGCTAGATTCTGTAGACTCTGAAGAATACACATCTCTTGATGTGCTAAATTCTGTAGACTCTGTAGACTCTACAGAAGTAATGTATTCCAGTGTATCTGTAATATTTTGAAATAAATTAACTGATGTGTTTGGGCCTTGTGTGGTGTCCGTGACAGATGTCATAAGTGAACCACTGCTCACCACATTTGGAAAAGGTGCAGTCCCAAAGATGTTAGTTGTATCCTCTGCGGTTGTAGGTACTGTACTAGTTGCCATGTTTTGGCCAGATGTTGTGGTATTGACATTTGTAGAACCAGAGGTTAGAGGCTTTACTGGTGCTGGTGTCACTGATTCTGTTATGTTCATCAAAGTGCTAGAAGGGATGTTTGTGGACAGCTGATGTAATGTTGTGGAAGAAATATGGCTTGTTTCAGGAGCAAAGGTACTTCCTGTTTCAGAAACAGTGGGCAAAGGTGACAGATCCATTTGGAAACTGGAACTGTGTGGTGTAGTAGTTTGGTTAGTAAGATCCAAATTAAATGGAGATGTATTGGGCATGGGGCTCATTGATGTAGCTGAAGTTATATCATTTTTGATGTTGTATGTGCTGGCATCTTCTGTCAAAACTGTGGAGATCTGTGGTCCATTCGTTTTTGTTAAGACAGTAACAGTAGAAGCTGTCCTTTCTGAATCAACCGGGTTGCTGGTGCTGGTACCTCCTGTAGTGTCAGATGCTGGATCCACAATTGTAGTCCTAGAGGAGCTGATATAATTTTCAGATGCTGTTGTTACTGGTGAGTTCTGTGCAGGTGTGGTTGCAGTTGGCAGAGATGGATTAATTGTCATGATTGTAGTTCCTGGTAGACTTGATAAAGCAGGAGTAGCACTCTCTGAGAGTCCAGAATCTTCTGTTTCATTCCTGTTTGTGAATGTGTGGTCAAACTCTGCAGACGTAGTCTGTAACTCTGCCACAGTAGTGGTTGTGTCAGTGAAAATCATATTTTCTGTTGTTAAATTGTTATGCAGCAGTTTGCTATTTTCTGTAGAAAACATGGCTGTCTGAGATGGATTTGGGGTGGTGCTGTTTGCCAGATGTGTACCATTCTGTGGCATTTGAACAGTAGTCACATCTATAGTCTCTGCAAGTATGGATACATTGGGCAGAGACCGATTGATAGACATGTCAGTGACACCTGGTAGACCTGTAAAAGCAGAGACAGTACTTTCTGATAGTGTAATGTTCTCTGTGGTAGTCAACGTTAGTGACAATGTTGAGTTACTCACAGAATGTGTCACAGAATTATTTGTTGAGCTCATTGAACCTGTGGAGGCTGAGCTACTGGTCTCAACTGACTCTTTTCGATTGCTGACAGTGAACTTATTGGCCTCAGAGGTGGCAGTTTTTGCTGAGTCAAAGAGTACACCATTAGTAGAGCCAGAGGTTGTCCTTCCAGTCAGTAGAGCCAATGTGCTGGAGTTCAGAGCTTCCGTATGGACTGGTGAGGTGTTTGGAGTGCTGTTGGTGGCTGGTGGTTCTGCAGTTGTGCTAGTACTAATGGTCCCTAGATCTGGAAGACAAGAAGAGAAATCAATATTTAAAATATTCCCATTTGATCTTCAAAATGATACCTCCACATTCAAAAATCAGAAACTGCATTCACAAATTTGTAGGCAGCTAAATACTGTGACAACTAATATACACATAACACATAACATAAATGACAACATTTCTAAGAAATGGTAGAATTCGTTTCTATGATTTTTTTTCAAAAACGTCATATTTGGAGGTGGTTAACAAGTAATCAAACTTAAAAACAATAAATATTACCAAACAAACAAGAAAACAAAATAAAGGAATGAAAATACTGCCAAATCGTCATATCAGTTGTGCACCTTAATAACATTCAGCAATTGTAACCTGCAGAAAAGGCAGTGAAACAGTATGAGGCATCTTACTGTACATACTTGGGTAAGAAATTTAATCCAATGCCTATTGCATTCATGTACGTTATTAAGCAGAAAAACATGCTTGTCAGCTTAACCAGACGATAAATGTCTTGTGTGCAAAAGGTGTGATATTACATTTAATAATTATTACAGAACAATTGTTGTGCTGTTGGAAAATGCATACCTTTCAGGACACAACTATTTGTTCTTGTCAGTTTCCGGATGAAAACAATAATGTCTTTATGACTTTTGGAAAAAAAAGCACATCCTGTCAGATGCTTGTCAGTAAGAGCAGAGATTGTAAAATACAGCTATTGTGTATTGGACCATAATGGTTATGTTAGTAACTATTTCAATAATAATATAATACGTATTGTGAATTGGACCATAATATCTTAAAAATATGCTTTTGGTGAGGTAATATGTTTTGTTTAAAATTAACACAAAAAATGTATCCAATCATTAAGTATTCATATATATATATATCAGCAATATATGTTGTACCTGTACAGTACATAACATATGTATAATAATATAAATCAAATAATAAATAATATATCTTTACCTAACTTGGCAGGTTATATTTTATATGACTGCACTTGATTTGTATTTGTGCAGAAGTGTTCACAATTATTTTTCATCTGATGTATAGTCTAATTACAATAATGACCTTTTCACTTAAGGTTTAGAGAATCTGCAATGTACAGTATCCGTATTTCAAATGCTGAAATTACACATTTCATAGATAACATGAGCATGGCATGTAAACTTAGCATACAGTATGTACGTAATGTGTTCTCATTTAGCGTTCATCATCAGTTACTGTCCTGCTATTTCTTAGTTGGTTAAAAAAAGCATAAACTTTGTTTATCTCAATGACAAGTCAGCCAGCACTACCAGGACATCTCTGAAATATTCCAATAAAATAAAATGTTCCACAATACAAAACGAACATGTAAAGAAATTAAATGACTGGTGTTAAACTTTTAGATTAAATGAAATGCTGATCTTACTTTTAAAGTTGAAGACAATCCAATTGTTCATTACTTCTGACTTAACAATGTTAAGCTTAAAGTAAGCAAAATTATAGAATGTCATTCATATCCAGAGGTGATCTACTTTAATAACATGATTAGTGCAAACCAATATCCTTACCTCCTAGACAAGTGCTGTTATAGTCAAGGCAGCAGTCCTTGTTCACAACACAGAACGCATCACAGAAGCAGTTTTGTCTGTTACAACTGCTATTCAGACCAGAACAGCAGAGTGGGGGGTAACTTGAACATTTTCCTGAATGAATAAAAGAAAAGCAACACTGTGAAATTATGGATACTCTCCCTGAATTCATGTACTGTAGTTTTCCTATTTATTTTGAATGATTGTTACTATTCAGCTGTCTTGTGTTTGTATCCTTTAATGAGTTTCAAATTTGCATCTATAGACTATTTGACTTACTACAAGGGTTTGCTACTACTTTTTCCCTCTCTAATTGTTTGTATAATATAAATTTGTCATATTTGTAAATATTTGATAATCTTTTTGTTAGAAAACACATGAGAGTTAATTCTGTTTCTCGTCACAGCTAAAACTTTCGAGACCAGTACCAAGATTCATACTAACGTCCTTGTTTGGGGGAAAAGTTTCCAATTATTGTTTAATTAAATAGTGTTTTTTCTTTGTGAAATTATATTTTTCTAAAATTGTTGCTCAAATATCACTACAAATCCTTCTAACAACCCCCCCCCCCCCAGATATTTATACTTTCTATAAAGACATTGGTACATTTTTCCATACCTGTAGATCTCTGACTTTCCATATACTGGATGAGCAACAGGAGCAGCAACAGCCATAGGGATGTGGAAGTGGAAGAAGACATCCTTGTTTTCCAACACTGAATGCATTGTGAAGGCTTTCAGAAACAAACCTGTTTATATCACCTGAGAATGTGCTGCTACTCCTCCTCTCACAGAGTGGTGTCAGTTTGCGTTAACAGACTATTAAACGGGCGAGTTCCATTTATCCTACTATTGATACAACCAAGGTATTCCAAATAACTGAAAGGACAAAAGAAGTCTGAAACCACCAGAAGTGCTCATTGCGAATTGCAGGCATTGAGTATTATCTTAACTGTGCTGTTTTTCTTGCCAGTAAGATGATGTTTGTGTTATAATACGTACTGAAAGTATTCCAGCTGAAAAATGTATGTCATTAGAATCATATTTTGTTATTGGCTAGGTGTAATGTCATTTAGACTGTAGGAAAATGCTGGGCAGTGTTTGGGAGCTGTTTACAGTGTGACGGATTCTAGCCATTTGTGAAAGGTAACCTTTACCCACCCTTATCTTTGATGCTGTTTTCTTTTTCCAAAAAGGTGACTAGTGAAATGAATGGTACTTTTCAAATCTCAAATTTCAGTGACTAAATATAATTTCATTCTCTAGAGCTTAAGTCAAACGTAGAAAAGTGTTTTAAGTCAGTTAACATCAGTTACAAAATGTCACAGAATCTGAAAAAAACATGTTCTGAATCCCAATGAGTCCCTTATCTAAATTGCTATCAGAATGTGTGCTTACTGTATATAAAACATTTACTTCTCAGTGTAAATAGACAACAATGAGAGTGGTGTGCTCCATAGTGATAATATTTTAAACCAGAACATCTTGAATATTAATGTACTTAGAATATCCTAAGTCCCATGGCCATTTTGGAATAATCAATTGTTATATTATTATTATTAAATATTGGAATTCAAATATAGTATGTATGCTGTATTGCAAGTCAGGGCCTGCACTTTTTCACTGCTCTAGTAGATCAAGCACAGCAACACTAAGTTCAATTTGCTAATACTGGATTCCTTCTCAGTAATTGTGGCTATCCCAGTCAATTTTAAAGAGAAGTTTACTTCTCTTATTTGGATTGATCAGATCTCTAGGTAGAGCCTTACCATAAACTCAGTAGTACGACCTGTCACTGCTGAACAGTATATTGTTTAAGTACAGTGTCCTAACAACAGGAGGAATCTGTACATGTGGTTTAATATATCAACCCACTTTCCATATCTTTACTCTGGTTGTAATTCACTGTCTCTAAGGATAGCAACTATATTCTTTAATGCCTCATGCTCATCTTCAGACCTGCTACACAGAAAAATACTGTTACTGTAAGAGTTAGTGTTCCACTAATGAATGTTGCGTTCTGTTCACAAAGACATTAAAATGATTTAATATTGCCAAAAGATAAAGCAGAATATTTATTTTCTGTAGACCTTATTAATGATCACTGCAGTGATTTTGAGCAAAAAATAAATAAAATGTATATGAAAATGCAATATTTTAATGTAACATAGTGCCTTAGTTCCTGCTTCCTCTTGTGTAAGGCTCAGTGTGATAAATAATGCAAACAGGTACAGGTATTTAGACACCCTTTTGAGCACATCCTTTTAAAAAACAATTGTGTTACCTTTTCATTAAACATACATTTATCTATTAATTCTTTTCATGCACATTTTGAGGGCATCAGAACTTTGACCACCCTTATTAGTTTCCTCATTGTTTTTGTCTGTGACACACCTGAACTTAATCTTCCATATCTTGTAAAACCTGTTATTAACCACAAAGACTGTGTGACAGATTACCAATTGATTCAAACAGCTACAGTACATGTACATCTCTAGTTGTAAAAATCTCTGTCTTTTGAAAAGCAGAAGAAAGTCCAAAAATCAAAAGAACTTATGTCTGTTTAATCATTTCCTTTTAAAAAATGCAGCCATTGGTTAAAAGAGATCTATCAGTCATTATACTCTTAGTATGCCTCACAAGTGGCTTTGAGAATAAGCTATTATAGAAATGAAATGGAAAACACACAGCTAAGATCATGCTGTCCTGGCTTTTATCACTAACAGAAACATCATTAAATGATAGAGGAAATCAGTTCAAACGTGGCAATGCAAGAGGTATCTGGAATTCCCGGAAGTTTATGTGACTGCTGAAATCTGTTGTTACGATTTGTTCGAAATAGGTGGCCTTCACCTGATACTTCACCTGATACCTAACCTATGGTACTGCATTTCATCTTCATAAAGTGGGAGCTAGTTTGTTCTTAACTCTCCAATCTTTTGGAACAAAAAAAATCAGAGGTTTTGCATCTTATACAGGCTACAAAACAAACACAAACCCAATAAAAGAGTTATAACCACATGACTGCAAAGCAGGCTTTTACTAGAAGAGGCAAAAAACATTATACAATACTCACTTCATGATCCTCAGAAATCAAACACAGATTGAGAACACATACAATTTCTGAAGAAAACAAACTCAGGCGGAATGTCCAATTTATCATTATACAATGTGTAAAGATAAACATTGATGTGAACCTTCTAAGCCTCGTAGCAGCCTCGAATCATGTTTGAAGTTCGGCACACAAGCCCTGAGGGACACTTCATTGGCCTGCAGGTGACAGATGTGTCTGAGCAAGTGCAGTTCTGTGCGCAGTCCTCTGTGACAAAAGTCTCACCATCCTGAAGGAGAAAGCCAGTAGAAGTTAAACAATGGAGAATAGCTGGCGCCCACAAGTAAAGGAAGCTAATGCAGGAAGCACATTTCTCACACGCCACTGGGACAGCAATGATACAGGATGACAGATATATCTAACCTTGTGGTAGACATTGTGGTAGAAGCAGCCACACTCCTTGTAGGGCACACAGTCAAAGTTGCTATGCACAAAACCTGGCAAGCACTGGCAGCCCTCTTGACAGGGGGCTTCACAGTCCCTAGGGTTGGCCAGGTTGCCACAGGATGGCGGGCAGGCTGTCATGCACAGCCGGTACTCACTGTGTGAAGGACACTTCATTTCTGTGTCAGGAAAACAGAGAGCAACCTTCACAAACTCATTGTTTTAGCCACAAACTCTGAAAAAAGCAATTGTTGAACTATTACATCCATTTAAATATTTTTTTTTTAACTTGAAGGGCATCAAAAACTCATTTATGGGTTCTTTTTTGGCTTACGTGTTCACTGATCTCCTGCATTTTCTCAATGCACGGATAATCTGAGCTGTCATTTACTTTATTTTACTTATTATTTTCAACAAAACTCTGTTTTTTTATTTTTCCTGACAGTAGCTGGAAGCCTATTGCGACTGTGAGGTTTTTTTTTCACTTTTTAAACTGCTGGTGTTCACAGACTGGGCAGCCTGAGAATGTAATACTAGACAGGTATACCGGAACAGATAAGCTATTGCATTTGTGACAAAAAATGTGTTATCCAAGATGGTAGCTTGACCCGTGTATGTGAATACCTTTTCAGAGTGTTCTTCTTTCGAGCTGCAGAACACATTGAATTGAAACTTGGCAAACCTTATAAAAAACTGAAGCTTTTAAAGTTTTCACTGAAAAGTGGATCTGTTGATTTTTTTACACCTACAAAGGGGTCATGCTCCTGCTCATAAACAGTTTGCAAAATTAACTCCAAACTCTCCAAGAATTATAGGTAGAATTACAGCGCAAATATAAGTGAAAACGAGGATACCTGCATAAAGCAAGATCCATTAGATTTTTTTCTGCTAAAACATGACCCATAACACTAATTACAAGTATAAAAAGTATAAAAATTATTAGGATCTTTCTAATGGTCACACCATTAACATCTGACCTGCTGTTATTTCTGCATATGCCAAGATGGCAGAACTACTGCCATTTTGTTCTTAGTAAAACCTACTGTGTCTCAGACTTAAACCTTGTATACTGCAATGCTGTTTGCTCTCACAACAGGCCATTACCTACTTAGCAAACCACACCTGCAGTATCCTCACTCTTGATGCTATACTACTAACTGCAAAACATGCTTAGCAAAGAAGCTCCACATTTGGATGGTATCATTCTAGATTGCCCTTAATTTACTCGCAGTGCTCTCACTTGCACTTACTCCATGAAAGTAAATGAGTACCGACCTGCTTTGAAGTCATGAAAACTGTCTCCCATTTTCTACTTTGTCTTTGAGTTGACACTGAATGCTGGTATTAGGATTTCCCATTTAATTCCAGCATAGGGCTGGCTTTATACACTGTGTTAGTATAGAACTGATTGTATAATATAATAACTGTAATACAATATACTGTAATATGATATGATATTATATAACAAATACATTTTCATTACCTGTAGTGTATGTGTTGGCTATGGGTCAATAATTTTACATATAACCAGAAATTGTCCCCAAATTTCTTCACATCAGATTCAAAAGCAACATTTCTTTAATTCATCTGGCACTCATCTGGCAGGTATTGACTTTCATCAAAGGTGTTTTGCTAGCAGGCTGTCACCCAAAATGCACTGGAAGCTATCCTGCAGCATTCAATGTAATCAACATTCTAAAGCACCATTGTATTTTTTTGCAGAGCTGAAAGCTAACCTAAAACTTTTACTGCTTTTTCTAAAGAGACTATCAATTACTTTCTTATCAACTCCTCAGTCCATATAAAATGCTGTTTGTCAGTTTCCCCCACGAGCTGTCAGTTCAGCAAGAGTGATTTCTCATTACCACACAGAGTGCTTGCCCTCCAGTTTCCAATGGAGATTCCTCTTTTCTGACAGGCCTCTGAATAGCGTTGCAAGCTTTTACACAGAAGGCTTGTGTTGTTAAAAGATGAACACTGGTCAGCGACACAGTTTCTGGAGAGGAAAGGAGTAGCTTAGTTTAAGTCACTTTTAAGCTCTTACTCAATTTTCTCTCACTTTTCTGTCCACCTTCACAGTTCCAGAATGTTGAGCAATGATCAAACTCACAGCTGTTTTGATCAAATTACTACAAAGCTGAATAGATAGTGGAGGTGCAATACACACCATATTACTGTATACACACGGCACAAAGATCCTTAAAAAAAGAAAAGAAAACAAAAACATTGAAGTGGGTTGAATTCCAAGGAAGGAAAGTGAAGCTGACGATTCAATGGCTCATCTGTCAATCCCACAGGACTAGTATTGTAGTAGAACAGAAAGATGGGAAAATATACTCACTCGAGATGCTTTACAGGTTGAACGGCACCATGACAAGTGGAAAATGGTCCCTGGGGGTCAGAAATTATGCCACAGAATCTCATGCTATTTAGGAGGGTCTTCTGTTGCTCTGTGCACTGAAAGGATATTGTAGCACTCACACCTGTGTTATTGTAGTCTTGAATTGCAGCATCACTGTGGCTTGAGAAACTTCTTCTACAAGATGGGAGGAAAGAGAGTGGTAATGCTTAGCTAAACCCACACATTTCAGTTAATGAAGATGTCCCAGCTGCTGCATTTATCCACATATGGTGAGAACTTGTACTGTATCTTTAGATTCTGTTACATAAAAGTGACATAATAGCTTATCCAAAACAATGTGACAAAAGTTGCTTTATATATAGAATGTTCAATAAGGCCTGTTATCTTCAATTGACCTGAGGTGAATGGATACACCATGAACAGTAGAAAAGGAAAGATCTGGTTTCAGTTTTGCATGTTGGTGGCTGTGTTTGTGTTTGGGTGGCAGTGGTGTATGTGGGTTACTGCTATAAATTACAGTATTTTGGTCATATTTATGAATCACATAGTTGAAGTAGAATATACCTTTCTCTGACATTTAACTTGCTTGTCTGCACTTGCCAGCTTTCTCCAAATTCATTCATATTCTTTGCCTGGCTTCCATCTGGCTTCATGAAATCATTATTCTTATCTCCATCATAATTCCCACACAATCCCACTATCTTGTTCTGGTATGTATAAGGAAGAGTTATCTCTAAATAAAAGAGATAAAAGATAAATAATATATACCATGATGATATTTTACATGCAATTGCATTAGTAGACATACAGAAACATAAATGAGAAATTGAAATCTTCTATCATAAGTGTTTTCTGAGATTGGTTTCTACTATGTATTTATCTAGTAAATGAACTATTTACTATAACTTGAAAAATCTGAATATTTATCTTCTTCAAAGATATTTAAAAAATAATAATGAGCATGTTAAAAAGGTAGGATGACTCTGTGTATTTACATCAATGTTGCTGTTCTGATATTTGAATTATTTTTATTGTTCAACACTAAATTGATACTCATTTAAAAGAATGAAAAAGGAGTTTACATTGTACACCTAAACTGCTTCAGACAAAATATAGTTTAACAGTTCAGGATATATATTTTCCCTGTTCTTTTTTGTGTGATATGGTGTCATTATTCAAAATAAAAACATCCAATAAGTAATAAAAATGGTAATAAGAACATTTTAAAGCCTATTTGCATCTTGACACAGTGTGAACCAGTAATGAACCTGCCACTCTCCTTCATTGAGGTGCAAAATTAAATTAAATGTCTCCACAGAATTCCATACTACTGTACCTGCGTGGTCATGTCCATCAAATTTCACTGACAATCCGAAGTCTGTCTCCAAGAAGAGGAGGGAGGACCGTTGTGTGATTTTCATTCCTCTGTGAGGAATGGTTGGTGGTTTTACTTTTTCACCATCCAGCTGAATATGTGTTTCATTAAATATTATAACAACAAAAGAAAAAAATTAATATCTTCAAAAACTTAGTCAGAAGGCTTCTGTTATCTGAAAAGAAACACTAATCGACATTGAAGAATTTACAGTTTTGTAATTTAGTTACAGTTTTGTAATTTAGTCTAATGGCTGGTTTTCCCAAGACAACAGAACCTAACATTTTGATCTAGATTGGGGCTCTAGTTTCAAAATAAAACTTCAAGAACAAAAAGTATCGACAACGATACAAACATTTATAGACTTTTAAAGAACAAATAATGGGTTTATTCCATGCTGAAAAGAGAAGAAAGAAAACACAACGTTTTGGATGTGGAGCCTTCTTCGGGTGTAAGATGTAATATAACCAGAAATAACATAATCAGAAATGCATCCTAACAACTAATTTAAGCCTACTATAGTATTTGATATAAAGGTGAAAAGGGTAAAACCTATTTACCACAAGCTTTCTTTTATGCTTGAACTTCACTGTATGATTATAAACTCTGATTTTTATCTCTTTCAGGGTTGTGAGGCCTTTTTCGTCATCATCGTCATCTTCATCATCACTGTTGTCATCATCATCATCATCATCATCCTCATCATCTTTGTCATCCTCATCATCATCATCCTTCACAAGTCCATTGATGCCTTCAATGTAGATCTCTGGAAGATCCTTTGGAATGTGAACCGTTTGGACCAGAATGTAGGAATGTCTGCCTTCAAACTGATGCTCCATGTTATCAAATGTTTTATATTCGGGATCTCCAGACACCGAGCACTCACTGAAATCTGGAAGGAAAAGCACACTGCAGTTATTATATTATTATATTATTATATATATTGTTATATATTATTATATAATTTTTTTCAGATTTACCAACAATGAATGTTTGGACTGAATTAAAAAATGAAATTTACATAATGGAAAAATGAACATTTTCACTATTGGTCTAGATGGATTAAATACATTAAGGTGTTTTAAAGTCTGAATTATTTGAGATACAGAATAACTGAAACTAGAATTAAGAATATATATGTACATTCTATTTCCCACTTCATAAATCATAAAAAAACCATATGTATTCTCCCTATTTTGAATGTATACAGTTTGGATAGAAGTAAAATAATTGTAAAATATTAAGGGGATAGATAAGAATAGACTACATTTTCATGTATGATGTATTTTGGTAAATTTGTATTAAACATGATTATTCTACAATGCCTCTGTATTTAAAGGGTTTTCTCTATTCTATAAATAAAAATAAAGAAAGAACAATATTTTGCCTGCCATTATCCAAAGTTGAGCACCCCCACAGCACTGTCTTTACATTTTCCAAGACAATTACCTGTAGTTTGCATGCAATATACTGTATGAATATTGCAGTGACAAAATATTTAAGACCTCAGAGAAGAGTTATTACTATGATGAAACGAAACAAATACTACAATTCTGCATAACTACACTTCAACATAACATGTAGAAAACCTCCATCTACAGGGAAGATTAGATTCTCAACTGTGCCAGTACAGCTTACCTGTAGGCTTGCACTTGTATTCCCCATTTTCACTGAGAGCACACACCGAGTCATCATCACAGCCATAGTCGTCACAGTCAATTTCTGCATGATCATCCTCTTCTTCACATTTGCATTTCTGAGAGCAGTGGTCAGTGATCCAAGACTCACCTAGCTGATAGTTGCATAAATACAGTGTATCTATAAAATGCTGTGGTTTCCATCAACTCACATTGTTGCAGCCTAATTTTCTTATCAACTGTTACAGGTTTCTCACAATACAGTTTCCCAATGGAACGAGTCTCTGACAGATTTTTACATTCTTTAATATTCATCCTTGAATCACTGCTCCAAATAAAATCAAACACCAAGCAGAATTAAGAAGAAGAATTGGAGTGGCTATGTGTATCACTAGAGGTGATATTCATGACCATACGCGGCAAGAATAAAAGATCAATGGGAAGATAGGAACTGCAGAAGAAAAATACTTACTTTATAGTAGTTACCCTTCTTGTCCTGGCACCCACATTTCCTTATTGGCACACATTTGTCTTCACTCAGCACATAGCCGTTGTTGCACACACAGCCTTCCACACAAGACTGGACTTTATCACAATGCACTGAAGCATGGAGATCTGCGCAGGTGGGCTGGCAAGCAGGGACACAAACTGTGTAGTGGCTATTCTTTGGACATGAGAGAGCTGTAGGAGAAGAAAGTGCATGAGGAAAAAATAATGAAATTTGTTGGCAGGTTTTAAATTAATAAGTAAATCCAGCAGCAATGCCACTTTTGTTCTGCTGCATGTATTAACCACTCTTAATATTAGCAACAACTTCACCAGCTTGTATCTTGATCTAATCAGATATTACAAGCAAAGCAAAGGTGGGCTTGGTCAGTATTCGGAAAGTTAGAGACATTAAGACTTGTGTCCCGACTCCATACTAAGTTGTGCTTGCACAGTTTATCTTATCTGTGGTTCCTCCTTAATTCAACGGGTGAAGTTGAATATCTCCACCTGATATATTGAGTTGTGGTGACAATGGTGCATGATGGCTGCCATAAGTCACCAGGTAGGTGTTGCACTTCAGTGGAGGATGAAATAGGTGTACATTTACAGTATATATAAAGTCCCTGGGAATTCTTTTGGATGTAACTTTTTCTAAACACAAGGAATTATTAATTCATTCTTAATGTGATTCACCAAAATAATACTGTCATCTAAAGCAAACGAAAACCAGTTCCCAAACATACTGTATTTAATACAGGTGTAGGAAAAATGCAATCCTAATGGTAGAAAATGAAAACAAGTGGAATGGGAATATTATTCCATTTCCAAACTTCTGAGGTAAAATTTTGATTGTGAGAAATGCAAAGAGAAGCATTGGAAACAACGGAATTCTTAAAGGCTTCCAGGTGGAAAATCTCTATTTTATAAAAAAAAACCTACTGTATATAAATGAATAAATATACTTACGACAAAAGTCCCCACGTCTCCAGTTGATGTGTACTCCCTCACTTCTGCAAGCACTCACGTAGGCCTGGATCATGTCACACAGTGTCGATATCATACCGAGGTACTTGCACATATCATAAACACAGCTTTCAATGAAATGCTCAGGTGGAATTACAGAATGACAAGGTTTAAACGTTTCAGAGAGCAAGACCTCACACTGCTTTTCAATTTCAGGTTTCTGATCAGTCTTGCAGGGAGAGCCTAAGTCTTCTCTTTCATCTGCAAGGCACCTAGAGCGGTTCAAAAGTAAACACTATTACAGTAGATCATTCATTCTTCCATATACATGTACAGCAGCATGCATACCTGTATAATGGGACATCATCACGAAGCTTGTAGTCAGTTGAAATAAACATACTTTCACAGAAAAAAATGTCTTTTTTAACCAGCTTTGACACTGACAGCTTAATTTCTGTTTCTAGTTCTCTTTGCTTGCAATAGAAATTGCACTTTAGGTGTTCTTCTGTTTGTTTAGTGAACGTTTGTATTATAATAATTTCTTACTCGGGTGGACTGTCTTCATCTATTTTCCAGCTGTTTCCAAAATGGGACACGTTGTGAGCCAGCTGCCCATCTGGCAAGAGCAATTCATCATCCTGACGGTTGTTGTTGTTTCCACACATGCCACATACCTTCACAAATATGAAAAAAAAACCGCAACAACTTACAGCTCCTTCACTTCATGTTTCAAGAGCACACTTTCTTCCAGTACAAAAAAATGTTAGAAAGTGTTTTGAGTTATTACCAAACATAACCTACACTTGATAAACTAAGTTAGCAAAGCCAAATATACTGTACACCAGTGCCAAACCTCCTGCGATGGTTGTCAGGATATGTACAGGAAATACTGTATATTGACATACTGTACCTTTGAAAAATATTCAGGTGGTAGTCTGATTTCAAGGTGCTGTTTTCCATCAAATTTCACAGATACTCCAAAGTCGGTTAACACTGTAGTATACAGACGTTGGGAGGTGACAGTAATTCCTTTTGCTAGTGGCTGATCCATATTGCTGATTTCCTTGCCATTCAACTGTCACAACACAAACGTAAGAAAAACAAAGATGTTCTAAATCGTTTTGGGTTTTACGTAGTTTCCAATGTAGTTCTTTTTCCCTTACAATTGAACGTGTCCGATTAAAAAAAAAAATCACTGTGCTTAGAATATGGAGTAGATTACTGGCATCCCCTAAAGTCAAACAGAAATTTATATCTACATGTTGTACCCTTGTGGATTTTTTATGATCACTCTACAGTATGTACTTGATCAGCAGAATTTACAGTAATAATAAAACTAGATTTTACTTTTATAACCCAATTGAGTACAGTACAGTATGTCCTGCATAACTCCAGGTGTGGTTTATATACAGTACTAGTAAAAGTGCTTGATTGGATCATCTTGCAATATTCTTGCTCTGTAGCATGTTCTACTTGAAAGTTAATGACAGATATTTTTGAAAATGTAGTTAAAATTATAGAATTATCATGGTCTGTGTCTTTTATACAGTACCTTAGTCTAAAGAAATCAATATCTCTTTGCACCTGCAAAATCCAGTATACTGTATGCACTATTACACATATTTGGTTTTCACAAAGAAAAAATAATGTTGCTTTTAACCTACCAGGAGCTGTTTGTCTTTCAGAATACTCAACTTGTTGTTGTACACTGTGATATCCACCTGTTTAAGGTATGTGGCCTCTGGTTGGCCATGGGCTTCATTCAGACCACTGATAGTTATTGGAGTAACACTGCCATCAGTCTGACAAACCTTTACCAGGGTGTATGCACAGGCACCCACAAAAGTGTGCATGACCTTATCAAATGTAAAGTAATGGGGGTCCCCAGCAATGTGGCAAAAAGATGCACCTGAAACAATCACAATGATTGGAAATACAATCAGTTGATCAGAAAAATAAAAAAAGGGTCTATACAATAATTTGGGGAGGAAGGTTAAACCTTCATCTCTCATACTTCCACTTGCCCAAGTAAATAATTCTTATTATAAGCCAGGACGTTCTTTTGTGTATCTATCTCATCTTCCCACCTACCCATCTATACTCCTGCAGCAAATTCCCTATCTCAGTCCTTGCAATACAGAGAGAGGAGTGGGGGCAGCCTACCCAGCCTCAGATAGGCTATTATTTCCTTAGGTGGGGAGTCATGCAAAATACTTTATACATATTTCTTTCTCTCTCACATTCATTAGAACGTAACTGAACTACTGCAACAATAGTTATCCCTGTCAAGAAAATACGGAAATTAAAATAATTAAAATATTTTTGCCTTTGCATATATTACCAGTAAAATATTGATATACTGTATATATATTGATACTTCAGACTAATATATCTTAAAATGGTGACTTCTTATTCTTTCTTACCTTGTGCTTTGTTGGTTGTTTGCTCAGGTTTTCTGGTTGTAACCCCTGTGGATGCTGTGATGGATGTAGGTGTTGCCACTTCTGGATGTCTAGTGGTTGGTACTAATGGTTCAGTTGTGTATGTAGTTGTATATGTTATGGGTTGTTGGGGTGGTTTAGTTGTTGATAATGGAGGCTGAGGCATATTAGTTGTAGATGATAGTGGGTGTTGAGGTGTTTTTGCTGACATAGGAGGTTGAGATGGTTTAGTAGGTAAAATTGGAGGTTGTTGGGATGGTTTATTTATTGATATTGGTGGTTGAGGTGTTTTCTCTGATTTTGCAGGTTGAGTAGTTGGTTTTGATGGTGCTGTTGGGGGCTGGGGTGGTTTACCTGTCAATACTGGGGGTTGAAGTGATGCAGTAGTAGATGATACTGGGGGCTGATGTGTTTTATCTGATATTGGGGGTCGGGATGGTTTAATTGTTGATATTGGTGGTTGGTGTGGTTGAGCTGTAGATGATATTGGGGACTGGGTTGGTTCAGCTGTTAATATTGGAGGTTCTTGAGATGGTTTATTTGTTGAT